CCCCAACACTGAGCAAGCAAGGTGTGAGGGACTTTAGCTCTCCTTGAGCTAAGCTTTTCCAACCTCTGAGCAAGACTGCTGCATCAACAGAAAAACCACAAAGGCAACAAGAGTTTCATACTTAAAGTGGAAAAAAAAAGCCATTGTATTGTCAAACAACCAGACAAGTGTAAAAAAACAATTACTAAAATACCATAATGTATTCCACAGAGATTATAATCTCCTTGATATTCTGTTTTTACATTCATCTTTATACATGTATATATTTCATATTTTTAAAACATTCTAATTTTATAAGCCTTTTTTTTTTTTTTTTGAATAAAGGTACAAGCCCAAACACATCATCAGATTCATTGTCACATGTCAAAGCTCTTTTTTTTTTCAAAAATACTTCATACAACATCATACCTCTAAAAAATGATGAGAAAGTAATACAGTCTAGTTATGAGAGAATAAATTTAATTTGTGTGTTAATTTGATCCTGATAAAAAACTAAACTGGCACCCGACAACTCGGTCTCATTTTCTGACACATTGTGTGGGGTTAATCTGAACAGCACAATCTGAACAGTGGGTTTGGCAGGACTATTCCAAGAAAAATAGGGGAAAATGCTATATGGACTGAAAATTTTGTGATAAAATTTGTTTGAAATTTTGAATCCAGAGTATGTGAGAGGTAAAAGTAAAGTAAAGTAAGAATACTGAAAAATACAGAAGAGGTAAATCTACTGGGTGCCGTTTGTGTATGTGGGAGATAAAGTGAATCTCGAAACATTTTTGTGTGTAGGAGATAATATAAGAGAGGAGACCTTATAAGAGAGCAATGCTGAGGGAGACAGAGGCAGAACAATCTTGTAAAAATGTACCAAAACCAGAGATCTACGATGAAATACGCAAGGGCCCGTACCAAGTACTCCGATGCTGTGCACTGCTGCTCTCTACTGCTGACTGAATGAATGACATTCACTATGCATAGTCACCTTTCAATGTTTTCTAGTCATATTTCAGATATAAAATAATCAAATACTCTTTCATTTGTTCCAGATTTTAGTTAGTTTTGCAAACTAACCAGATCATGTAACTTGAGATTCACAGAAATGCAGGTTTTCCATTCCAGACAGCAGGAAAATTCAGATCACTTACACACTAAAAATAACCTGAATAAAGGTCAGATTTGATAGAGCTTATGTTTACATTTGCATTTAGATCACTGAGCAAATGACCTTACTCAGAGACCTACAGAAATGTTTGTTTTCTCTATGAAAAACACATTCTCATGCTAGTTCAGTAGGTCAGAGACTACGAATCAAGCTAAAACCCTGCTGGCTGGGGTTACTAAAAAATGAAAAAAACACATAAGACAAGATTTGGAATAGAGGTGTTAATTCAAGTGCTTGGTGAAGAAGTAGGTCTTCAGTCCTGGTTTGAAGACAGCGCTGTAGAGCTATTTCTGAATAAACCTTTGCAAAGACTTCTACTGTGCTTATGGGTCAGCTGAGTACATGCTGTGACTAAAATCTGGCAGGAATTGTGTAATGAAGACGAAATGTGGAAACATGTATATATTAGGATGCATCCTGAATCAAAAACAATAGTTTGATTAAAAAAAAATTATCAATACCTGATTTAAATTATTAAGTGTATGCTATCAGGCAGAACTGCCCAAAAGAATGGTCAAAGACCAGCCAAGCAAAATGACAGAGTTAGAAATGATATGTAAAGAAGGACAGGGTGCTGGGTGGAGTAATCTTCATAGAATCCAAATCCAAAGAAAGCTCAGAGGTTTATGCAAATATGCTGGAAACATGATGAACATAATATAGAATTACAGCAGAATATTTACATACATCCACCTACTGGTATGTTTTTGGAGGTGGAAGGAAAACCAGAGAAACCGCAGGAAACCCACACAGACACGGGACGAACATGCAGAGAAACTGCACACAGACAGTAATCTGAGCTCAGGATCGAATTAGGGTTCATGGCAATGTTTCCCCAAAATATAATATAATCCATCCATCAATTTTCTATACCGCTTATCCTACACAAGGTCGCGGGGAGCCTGGAGCCTATCCATATAATATAATATAATGTGACTGTTATTTTAGAATATTTATAGAACATTCAAAAAGGGATACTCAAACTTGTGAGTTGATATACAGTCATTTTATTTTCATTATTGATATCCTTTTTTATGTAAGAACATAAGAACACTTGCCCTAAGGGTATGCAAGCTTTTGCTAAAGTATATATACACCGATCAGCCATAACATTAAAACCACCTGCCTAATATTGTGTAGGTCCCCCTTCTGCCACCAACACGGCTCTGACTCATCGAGGCATGGACTCCACAAGACCTCTGAAGGTGTGCTGTGGTATCTGGCACCAAGATGTTAGGAGCAGATGCTTCAAGTCCTGTAAGTTGCGAGGTGGGGCCTCCATAGATTGGACTTATTTATCCAGCACATCCCACAGAGGCTCGATCGGATTGAGCTCTGGGGAATTTGGAGGCCAAGTCAACACCTTGAACTCTTTGTCATGTTCCTCAAACCATTCCTGTACAATTTTTGCAGTGTGGCAGGGCGCATTATCCTGCTGAAAGAGACCACTGCCATTAGGGAATACTGTTTCCATGAAAGGGTGTACTCAGTCTACAACAATGTTTAGGATCCAAGGTTTCCCAGCAGAACATTGCCCAGAACATCATACTGCCTCTGCCGGCTTGGCTTCTTCCCATAGTGCATCCTGGTGTCATCTCTTCCCCATGTAAACGACACACACACCTGCCCATCCACATGATGTAAAAGAAAATGTGATTCATGAGACCAGGCTACCTTCTTCCATTGCTCCATGGTCCAGTTCTGATGCTCATGTGCCCATTGTAGGTGCTTTCGGCGGTAGACAGGGGTCAGCATGGGCACTCTGACTGGTCTGCAGCTACACAGCCACATATGCAGCAAGCCGCAATACACTGTGTGTTCTGACACCTTTCTATTATAGCCAGCGTTAACTTTTTCAGCAGTTTGTGCTACAGTAGTTCTTCTGTGGGATCAGACCAGACGGACTAGCCTTCACTCCTCACACAGATCAGTGAGACTTGGGCGCCCATGACCATATCACCGGTTCACTGTTTGTCCTTCCTTGGCCCACTTTTGGTAGGTACTAACCACAGCATACCGGGAACACCCCACAAGACCTGGCGTTTTAAAGATGCTCTGGCCCAGTCGTCTAGCCATCACAATTTTGCCCTTGTCAAAGTCGCTCAGATCCTTACGCATGCCCATTTTTCCTGCTTCCAACACATCAACTTTGAGAACTGTTCACTTGTTGCCTAAAATATCTTGACAGGTGCCACTGTAATGAGATAATCAATGTTATTCATTTCACCTGTCAGTGGTTTTAATGATATAGCTGATATATATACCGTCCTATCAGCTATATCATTAAAACCACTGACACTGACCACTATATATATATATATATATATATATATATATATATATATATATATATATATATACACATATGATTCATGTGAACATATATATATATATATATATATGTCTATGGTATATATGATCTTTTACTCGTCGTACATAAAGTATAATTGTCTTGTGAAGGTGATGATGCTCTACACTCCAGCAGAGACAGTGAGACAGTGTAGATGAGATGAAATGAGCCGCCAATCCTGCAGAGGGCGCTGTTAGTAAAGTTACGTCATAACGCAAGCGGAAGTTGTCAAAACTCTACGGTGTTGGAGCATCGAACGTTCAAAACAGTGCATTATTTTGACGCTATGAGCCGTAAAAGAAATCACAGTTTGATTGAAACGGGGCAGTTGGCTGAGTCTCAGGCCGCGCTGATGGAAGGCACAGGGCCCTCTGGCCGAGCGGAGGAGAGCTTCTGCGAGCTGGAGCTCGATGAGGAGCTGGTGTGTTCAGTCAGTGAGATCACCGAGCACCTCGGCAGGAACATCACCGTGGCGCTGGAGGAGGCCCTGTCCGAAATCCGCAAAGTAGTGAGCGCACGAACCAGGCTCCTGAAAATGGAGCTGAGGGAGAAGACAGATGAGATCGAGCTGCTCAGAGCCCGGCTGGAGTGTGTAGCCAGCGAACCGGCCAGGAAAGCCGACTTCCTCCAGGCGCCACAGAAGAGCAGCAACACGGAGCCAAAGAAAGCCAAAGCGGCCGCTCCTGCTGTCAAAAAGGAGAACATCGACGCCATCTGTGATTATCTGATGAAGGACAAGAACTCTCGCGGAGGAGCTGAGGTGGAGAGCGAGCGGCAGCACCAGGCCTCACTCAGCCCCTGGACGGAGAGCGAGGACATCTTCAGCATGTTGCCCTCCGCCAGCAAGAGACTCTACGATTATGAGTGGATGTCTGGAGTGGAGCTCAACTCCACCTCTGACTATAAAGGTAACGAGAGAGCAGGTGTGGACATGAGTCAGGAGTTAACACACGCCTCAGGTACAGCTAGGGCTGTTACGGTATGATATTCACACGGTATGATAGCCTGGTCTTAAAGTATCGCGGTTTCACGGTTTTAATCAGCATTAAAAACACAAGCCAGTGCTATATATATATAAAATTACATTTAAGCATTTGGCAGATGCACTTATCCAGGGCAACTTACATTCATCTCATTTATACATTTGAGTGGTTGAGGGTTAAGGGCCTTGATCAAGGGCCCGACATTGGCAGCTTGATGGTGCTGAGGTTTGAGCTCACAACCTTCCGATCAGAAGTCCAACATCTTAACCACTGAGACACACACACACACTTACTTTTACATATATATAAAAATTGTGTGTGTGTATATATACACACACACGTACACACACTCGCACGCACACACACATATATAAAATTCAATTCCATTTTATTTATATAGCGCTTTTAACAATGGACATTGTCACAAAGCAGCTTTACAGAAATCCGGATATAAAATTTAAATCAAAATTTAAAATTGATCCCTAAATACCAAGCCAGAGGTGACAGTGGTAAGGAAAAACTCCCTGAGATAACAAGAGGAACTAGACTCAAAAGGGAGGCCGTCCTCTTCCGGGTGATAGTGTGGTTATAAATCATTTCTCTTCTATAACTGTATAATCAAATAGTGCTAACTGTGTTAACTGGAACTTGAGTTTGAGCATCAAGTGAGATAAGTGAGAGTGGCTGCAAGGAAAAGCAGCCCTCTGAGTCAAACAAGGAGAGAAACAACTGCATTTTAATCAGTATTTTGAAAACTGCAGTGGTGATGTAACTGTCCAGTCATACACCATGACTAACCGTGACACCGTAACAACCCTAATTACAACACGCGGAACATGGTCATTAACTGAGGATGAGTCAAGTATTGATTAAGTAACACATCTGCTAAACCTGGTTTGTAACAGGAAAGTTGCAGCACAGAAATAACCAGAGATTCAAGGATTCAAGGATTCTTTATCACGTACATAATTACATACATGTGATGTAGTGAAATGTTTTTCCTTAGTTTCACGTCCCACAGTGCAACAATGAGCAGAACCAACAACGAACTAGATATACGTACACATAATAAAAACAGAATATAATAAAATCTAGTAGACTATATAATAAAAAAATTTAGCAGCCTATAGAGGAATGTAATGTATATAGAACGTTGTTGTTGTTCCTCTTTCGGCTGCTCCTGTTAGGGGTCGCCACAGCGGATCATTGGTCCGCGTATTTGACAGTTTTTACGCCGGATGCCCTTCCTGACGCAACCCTCCCCAATTTTATTCAGGCTTGGGACCGGCACTGAGAGCGCACTGTAGCGCGCAACCCCAGTGGCTTGTCACCAAGCTGTTTGTGTGTGTTGTCCATGAGAGGTCTTCTGTGAGGTGGACCCCAAGGTATTTGAAGCTGCTCACCCTCTCGACTGTGGCCTCGTTGATCATCAGGGGGCTGTAGTTCCTCATCTGCTTCTTCTCGCAATCAATAATCATATCCTTAGTCTTGGTGACATTCAGGGAGAGATTGTTATTGTGAAACCATGTGGAGAGGATGTCCACTTCCTCTAAGAAGGCCTTCTCGTCATTGTTAGTTGTAAGGCCTACCACCACAGTAGCTGCGTTTACATGGACACTAATAATCCGATCGTAATTGGACTAGAAGCACAGTCAGATTTAAAAAGTCACATGTAAACACGTCAATCGGAATGAATTGGCCAAAACCAATTAAAATTTCATTCGGATCGTAAGGGGTGGTTTAAACCTTTTCTAATCCGATGGAGAGGACATGTAAACACTTCATTGGATTGAAAATGAAACCAGATAGTTCTGCGCATGTGCAATGACGTACAAATCACGTAATGACGTATGACGCTCCTCGTCTGTGAAGTGGTGCAAGACGACGTTGTCCCACCAGTCCTTGCTTCGGACCCTCATCCACAGACGCCTTGTTCTGGGCTCGGGAAGGGGCATTTTATTTGCTTGATAAATACACGCAGTACCGCACAAAACATCACGTGCTCGTTGTCTTCTAATTAGCAGCTGAAATAGGCAAATGTTAAGTCTGCTTTTTAAAACGAAAAAAAGAAGCAATGGCAAGAGAGTGGCTGCTAGTATCTGCATATTGGAACGGCGGGAAATGTGTATTCATGCACTGTGCGCATGTCAGAAGATCAAATCCGATTCTGTCATGTAAACGCGCATATCAACCCGATTACTTTATTCAGCGTTCTTGTAAACACTGCGATCGGATTTATCAATCTGATTAATCACTACATAAAAAAATCACTTCCCTTAAATGAAATGTAATATGATGGTATAACGTCAACCATTTAGTGTGTTTCGTTCAACAAGCAGGAGATTTCGGCTGCATTCCTTGAATGCTCATGCTGCTGTGAAAGGTATCTCCACTTTGTGCAGACTTCATTGAGTGAACTGATCAGTGTTTTAGGTTTTGCTTTTTTAATTCTTCTCATTGTCATTCAAAGTTTTGTCTGTGAGAGAGAGAGAGAGAGAGGGGCTCACATTTGTGGTTTTTTTTTTTCAGTCACAAACTCGGCGCAAAATGACATTAAACCTTTCATTCGGCTTCTTTTTAACCTAAGCAAGAAGGCTTTATGTTGCAAGTAAAATCATTTGATCTGTTTTTGTGTTCTTTAAAACTGCTTCAGTGTTGGACCTGAAAACAGCTTTGCGCGTGGTGCTGTGCGGTGCAGCAGAATCAGCACTGCCGCTCACAGCGGCTTCACTATGATCTTACATTCTACCCAGAAATAGAGGCCTGTGCACTCAAACATTTTTATTATTGGTTAAGTAAATTAATATAAAAATCCATGTCAGTAATTTTTTTATAACTGACATTTTCGATTATTCAGACTAATCGTTGCAGCCATAGAATCAGTATCAGGTGTTGGCTGTCAGGTGTTACACTGTCCTTTTACTGCACTTTATGTAGTTCTGTGATCTGCTGTATTGTATGTTATGTTGCACTGCAGCCCTGGAGACATGATATTTCATCCTGCTTTATATGTATACTTGGAACATGATATTGGCCTTTGCTGTATTAGTATTGCATAGGCTGTAATGTGCATATGACAGAGTATTTTTATTAATTTTTTTATTTATTTTTTGTGCACTGAGCATTCTATCTAATCTCAGACATTCTTGACGAGAGCTTCTGTGGATGTTTTGATAAATTACGTCATTTCAGCAACCACTGAATTTTGGTCAAAGTAATACATGTGAATATATGTCACATCAAGGATTGAACAGTGTATAACAGTGTATTTTAATATCTTCCACAGCACTTAGTGTTACAGTATTGTGCAGGTCTACTGTGTAGTTAGTACTCATGAGACGATATACTAAAGCCATGATACGAGACATATGCCGATACAGGCTTCACGAGGCGATACTGACACATGACAGTATTGACACAAATAAAATATTACATTTTAATACATTTATTTTGTAATGACAACAAATCAAACCACTGCAATATCAGTACATTGTGTTGTAAGAAAAGTAGATCAGGATTTATAATATAAAGTGTAATTTCCCCTTATTATTTACATGTTATTTTAATCTTTTTCAGTGTCATAAATGAGTTTCATGGCGATGTTATTAATATGGAAAGATTGTTTGATGGTAGACTGCGCCTGAATGATTAGGATACATAAGAAATTAGCATCATCACTACTACTTCTGTCTGACATCCACCTGAAATGCACAAGCACGTCACACTTACTGATGTAATAGTACAGATGAGAAAAACAATCGTGATTTTATTTTGTATATTTTCTCATCTCTCCAAAATTATTTTCTGGTTACGCCACTGCCAGAACACACGACATGCTTCTGAATCGTTTTAGGTGTGAGAGTGATTTACATCAAGCACAGCACACAGGTGTTGATTTTAACCTGGATTTCACACTGTGGTCAAGCCAGCTGCGATAGAAACCAGAGTGCACGTACAGTTGAGGTCAAAAGTTTACATACCCCTTTCAGAATCTGCAAAATGTTTATTATTTTACCAAAATAAGAGGGATCATACAAAATGCATGTTATTGTTTATTTAGTGCTGACCTGAATAAGATATTTCACATAAAAGATGTTTACATATTGTCCACAAGAGAAAATAATAGTTGAATTTATAAAAATGACCCCGTTCAAAAGTTTACATACCCTTGATTCTTAATACTGTGTTGTTATCTGAATGATCCACGGCTGTGTTTTTTTGTTTACTGATAGTTGTTCAAGAGTCCCTTGTTTGTCCTGAACAGTTAAACTGCCTGCTGTTCTTCAGAAAAATCCTTCAGGTCCCACAAATTCTTTGGTTTTCCAGCATTTTTTGTGTATTTGAACCCTTTCCAACAATGACTGTATGATTTTGAGATCCATCTTTTCACACTGAGGACAACTGAG